AAAAAATAAAAATAAATAAATAAATAAAATAGTATAGGTAATTGTTTAGGCCCCTACGTTAGACCTTCGGGTAAAACACCTTGGACCTTGGCACCAGGAATTGTTGGCCACGAATCTGCCGCGACGATTCTGTCGCGCAGCTTGGGCATGGTACGGATGTCGCCAGGGTCCACCGACTGTCTCTGTTTGGATGGGCCTTTTAGGGTTTAGGGTTTGGGGTTTAGGGTTTAGGGGTTTCGGGTCCATACGAAGCTGTCCCTGTTACAGGGGTTTGGCTCTGTCCTGGCTTCAACTAAACCCTGAACCTTAAACCCTGAACCCTAAGCCCATAGAACCCTTCAGGCCATGTTTCTGCAAGTCAAAACAGGCCATCTCATACTCGTAAAGCCCCGGTAGCACCTTGAAAGACACCGTCTAAAGACCTACCCATAGGCCCCATAGTACCCTTTTTGGGGGTTCATATTTAGAATCCTATAAGGTAATTCCAAAAAGGAACTACTATGGGGCCTATGGGTAGACCTACAAAAACCTACGACTGCACTCCGGCAATAGCCTGTGACGGTCTCACAGAGTCACCCTTCAAAAACCCAGTACATCCTCACTGAAACCGTTCTAAGGATCTTATATGAGCGTCAACCAGAACCTTGTCCCCTAAAGGTTCCCTTGAAAACCCTCTAAGCGCCACATCAGCCAACTAGAGCCCTAAACCCTAAACCCTAAAGCGGTTGCACCCTCTTGGAACCCCTTGAGAATCCTAAACCCGAAGCGGAAACCCTTCAAACCCTGTCTCGCAAACCCTAAACTCCTCAACCCCTAAATCCCTAACCCGTGGGCTTGATGCAGGTAGCAAAATGGCACCGGCACCCTGGCTGTCTAGCGGCTCTCTAGCCCTAAGTTTAGGGTTTAGGGTTTAGGGTTCAGGGTTTATAATCATATACTCTTCTGATTACTAACCTACAAAACTACTATCCGTAACTCAAGTACATGGGTAGTTCTCTAAATTAGTCTGGCACCCTTATAAAGGACCCTAAAAAGGGACCCTAGTTTAGAGAACTACCCTAAACCCTNNCTGAACCCTGAACCCCCTAAACCCTCCGTGCCAGATCCAGTCGTCGCGCTCGCCGAGGTCCCCGAGGTAGATGCCTTCCCGGCTCCAGAGCTGCACCTGACACGAGGAAGGTGTTCTTTCTAAGGGATGTATAGGGTTTAGGAAATAGAGTATAGGGTTTAGGGTATAGG